AAAACGTGTAGCCTGGAAGACATGAACCTTGTCATCCCCACCTCCACCCCTTTTGTCGGCATTTTCTAGATTGGTTAAGGCCAAATCAGGGGCTATTGGTATTTGGAGGGGAGGGGAGGAGAGGGAGAGGCAAAATGCATCTCTTAAACTCTGCAGAGTTTTAAGGCACCAATTTCACCTCTTTAATTCCTGAAACCACCACCACCACCACCACCACCCTCCAGCTCATTAAAGGGGTAAAATTTGTCACACTGAATAATTCCTTCCACAAGTTCACAGGCAGCACTATAGAAGCAGTATTGTCCCTACAGCCATCTCAAGGCACCAGTAGCATACTGCTTCTGAACATGGAGGATCCATTTGATTGTCATGTCCTATCACCTTAGAAAAATTGAGCCTCTCAGTTATTCTTTTGCCCTACCTTTCCTAAAAGACCTCAAAACCTGTGGTTCTTGCTAAAGAACTTAAGCCTTGAGGTAGTCAACGTCATAAATTGTGGGTTGTACGAAGCATTTTCTTTAAACCCCCAGGCTTAGGGCTGGGAGATCTGAGTGACTATAGAAAATTATGGTGACCTAGTCACAGGATAATTATGAAAGTGAGGTCAGCTTAGAAAGTTCAAAATATATTACTAACAGGCATTTCTTCTTTTCACTAATGAGCGGGAAAAATGCTTTCAACTTTAAAAACACCTGAAAACACTTGCCATGCTAGCAGTTTGTAACAGCCCAAAGACCAACCAAGGAAGGATTCCCCCTTTACACTTTATAAAGTGTATCATTCTCATGTGCCAATTTGGGGCATATGTTCCTTTTAATAAACTTATATCCAGCCTTCCCTTCAGAAGCTCAAGACAGTGCATAAATCTCTCCTTATATTTTTTCCCCATAACAAGTGAGGTAGGCTGGATTGAAAGATATCGACCAGCTCAATCAACTAATGAGGGTGGATTTGAACCTGGGTCTCCCAGGCCCTAAGTTCAGTACGTTGAAGAACAGTCTTGGCATGGGATGAGCATAAAAAACAGAGACATTTGAGCCCACCATCATGGCCGCCCTCTTGACTTCTTTGTCCATACCCTGGCGACCTCCCTGATCATGGTGTATCATATCTTCCATTTAGTAGGACTTAATCTCTTTTCTTCTCACAATCAAGGGTTGTTTTAAAAAAAAGTTTCAAAAGCCTGCATTTTATTTTACCCACTTAATGCCTGAAACGTGCCGGGTTTTGGTTAGCTTCTTGTAATTTTATGGGTGGTCCTGAAGTGGGAAAAGGAAGCGAGAGCTACCCAGGCCTCCTTTCTTAATATGATGACAAGGAGGGCAAATTTCAGCAAGGGAAATCAAAGAGGCACAGCCCCACCAGAAATGGAGAAGGATCCCCCTGAGATCCTCCAGCCTGGCCCAGAGCTGCTCAAGGCAAAGGAGCGCCCGCACCAGCAGCACTTTTTAGCCAGCAGCCATCTTGCAAAATAGCTCTTTCCCTGCAGGCTGGAGAAGAGCCCTTGGTGGCCGTGCAGGCCATTTTCATATGTAATTTTGTGGCCAAGGAAGGGCAAATAAGGTCGCCATGGAGAGGGGCGTCTCTTCTGAGAAAAGAGCAGCGATGTGTTGGGAGTGGGGAAAAGGCGGGAAAAGGAAAGCAGGAAGTAGCAGATGGTCAAGCCCCACCCCTCCCCTGAGAATCATCCATTGGCCCCACCTTCCAGCTTTTCAAACCGAGTTCAAATTTTTCCCGCCGTTTCCAAAATAACGGCTCTCCTGAGGCGACAAGGCCAAAGCAAGCCCAAAACATGGAAGCCCTTTGCCCGGGACCATGTTTGCCTAGAAGGGGAAGCAAGGAAGAACTGTTTCCCTTTTAAAGTCTGTGTTCAACAACATTCCTGTGGGAAAAGGCATAAGTTAGTCATTTAGAGATTTAAATTCAAGCTGTAAAAAAATTAATGTCCAGATGAGTATCTGTATCTCAGTGCAGAAACAGCCAGGCACTTTGTAAAAAGCCCTGTTTGGCTAGGGTTTTTTACAGAATGTGTGACTGCAAAATTCAGTGGTGCCATAAAGGGCCAAACCCACCTAAAGACACACTGAGTGAAGAAAGGCCAGCTTTATTATTTGATGACATAAAATCCCATTGTCTATGGCTTGCAAGAATGAGAGGAACAGACATCAATCTCTTATTTTTAACAAGCATATATGACTTCGTTGCCTTTAAAACTCAGGCACCCCAAGTGGCATGAAGCTGAAGATCTATTCCCTGAATTTGGGAGAGAAAACAGTTTTACCTTTGCAAAGGTGGCTTCTTGCCTACCCCAAAATACAAACCACCCAGTAATTCAGGCAAAGCAAAAGACGTTTATTAAGGGGGGTCAAGTCTTTTTATAGGGTACAGAAACAAATGATACATACATTCAGAATATGGAATACGTCATAAAGCAACTAATCAAACAACAAAAGACATGGATTACACATGAGTGTTGAACAATAGAAAACATGATTCCAGATAACATTCCACAAGTGGCAAATGTATGGGTTATGTCACTCCCTTTCCAGGCCAGGTTTCTATCTTTAAAACTTGCAAGTGT